AAATCCCACGAAAATGGGGAAAAATCCCTCAATTACCCACAGCTTAAAAATTTATCCCACAAAATTCCCAACGAATTTAAACATATACATGTTTCAGTAGTAAAGAAGTAAAATTCATATAAAATAATAATAATAATAATTGGCGCTTACACATATGTGCTTCTCCTCCAATTTGTGGCGTGCCCCTTGATGTTGTCACACAAAAGGGAGCGACCTACAATTTTACGCCGACTCCGAATGGCGAGTGTATTTTGATGAGAAGCTGTTTTTCATGGCAGGAATATACTCGGAGGTTTGCCATTGCCTGCCGGCTTCACTTTCATTTTTTTGCTCACTCACTAAGGGCCTAAAAAAATTGTTTGGTGACTTTAAAATTGAAGCACATTCATGTGCTATTAACCATTTCATCAGATAATTTGTTCCGCTTTTTACATGAAACACCAGTTACAACTGAAAAGATTCTTTCTTACTCAGCGCTTGAATTGGTTAACGTAAGAAAATTTTCGAAATTGTCCTTATACTTTTTAACAATTATGTACCATTTCACTCTACATCACATCTTCAGAAAGATTAATTACGTAAGAATGTCAAATATTCTTGAATTTGGATCAATTATGCAACAATAACTGCATCAAAAGAAAATCCCTTATTTGTTTGAAATGTCCCTTTTTTCCCTTTTAATAATTTTTGTTGCAAAATATCCCTCAAATAGGGAAATTACCCACAATCTGGCATCACTGACTCATATTATATCTTCTTAATTTCTTACTTTAAATCTATACGATCCACAAGCAATTATATTTTCGGATTTGTTTTTTTTGTGTTGTTCCTTTTTTAAAGAGGGTTTAGATGTTTGTAAAATCTGGAATGCAACTTTGGTAACTAACATTACCGTTACACTTTCAGTTACCGTTACCATTACCCTTGCAATTAAGAATATTATTACAAATACTTACCATTATCATTATCATTACCAATACCATTACCATTACCATTTCAATATCAATCCCATTATCGTTACCATTCCCATTACCCTATCACTAGCATTATAATTAGCATTACCGGTGCAATTTACATTACTATAACTATTACTATTAAGGTTAACATTGGCATCATCACTACTAATTACCAATATCGTTAGTGTTATAATTTTAATTAAAATTACCATATACATTACAATTACGATAACGATTACCATTACCATAACCGTTACCCATTACCATTAGTATTAGCAATATATATCGTAACCATTACTATTACCATTACCATTACAATTATCCTTACCATTACCATTATCGTTTTAAATACGTTTAAAATAACCATTACCAATACTTATACCATTGATATCAACATAACATTGGCATTACCGTCATTACCCTATTAAGTGTGCGAAATTCATTCTCCAATATATTTTTTATTTATGTTCTATGCTAAAACACACCACTTCCCTCCTTTAACTCCAATCGAAACATTGCATAATGTAATGCCAAATATGCCATTTTCCTTGCCACTCACCATAACAATTGCACGCCTGTCATTGCATTTATTAAGGTGCAGCAACGGTGCTACTTGTACTTGGCATTTGTACGAGTATGCGTATGCAAAGCTGCCGTTCTACTCAAGGTCGACACCATATCCAGCTATGGTGAGAAACGACCTTAAGCCATTTAGTTCAATGCAGCATCTATGCAGAACTCGTGCTGTTTCCTACATTTCCAGGAATGAGACTGGCCTAGTATTTAACATCAATATGCACTAGGAAAATTGAATTCTTCTTCATTTGTCACTTCAAGTTTCCAGGTGTGTTTAAAAGGTTTCTTCTTTTTGGTTTATGATTGAATCTACTGTACGCTAACAATAGGGTTGCCAACCGTACTATAATAATATATAGTATTGTACTATTTTTTGTTTCTGCTTACTATATACGGTCGGAAAAAAATATAGTATGGAAAAATATTATATTTCTTCAATTATAAATATAAATATATTTCAGTCATTTGTAAGAAAGAAATGTTTTAAAATGGATGACATTTATACTGAAATATCAATATCTAAATTAATATACTTTAAAACAAAGGGTCCACAGGTCAAAAATGGCAACATTTTTAAAAATACTTAGAAAGATTTACCAAATTTACTTAAAATTATTTCGCTTATGCTCTCTATTCCTGCAACTTCGACATTTACAGAAAGAGTTTTTTCTATTAAGATTTTGAAATGGTGAGTTGAGAGGAATAAAGCGAATATCTCATAAATAAATAAAAAATATTTATAATATGATACTTTTAAAGAAATATATTTTTTATAGAGGAAATACATAAGAAAGAAAAAAGATGTACACAGAATAAACATTTTTACTTTTTCTTAAAAAAAAATACTATATATATATGAAGTGACTATATAGTTTCAGATTTTTTTGAAAAAGTACTGTACATTTCTTACAAAATGTTGGCAACCCTAGCTAATAAGTGTTACTATCGACACGGCAAATTAATTTTGAATATCATTTCCAAAGCGAACATTTCGTTTCTCTTAATTAAATAAAAAAATGTTTTGAATTCTATGTTTTTTCAAAATCTTTACTTTTTTATTTTTGTGTTATACCCAATGCGTAATCTTATACTTAACAAATGTTGTATACTAAATAGTGATAATTTTTCTTTTTTGCATGTCTAATAATAGTTTATTCATAACCCTTTGCATGTACATACGCAAATATAAAATATTCTGATTCAAATTAAATTTAAAAATATTTCGTTCGATCAGCGCTTTTTCGATCCTATTATTTAATTTGCGTATACAATGCAACTCTTATATTTTTCTAAGTTTTTTTTTTTATCCATATTGAGTTATTTATTCTACTTCTATATATGTAAGGTATATTTATATACTATCCATTACTCATTTTCTCTTTGCAACACTTACTAACAAATATCACATACATACATAGTGTTTAATTCTTTCTAAGAAAAAAAATGTACAAGAGAAATTTTCGCATGCCATACATATACAAATGTTATGAAGTTTTTCCATTTCCATATTTGTAGATTCGTTAAAAATATAGACTTAACTTTAATAATTTTATATGCTTGGAAGATGAAGTTGACCATAGTAGCAGCTAATATTTTTAGTTTTCTTAGAAATTTGAGTAATAACTTTTTTAAAAATTTTTAAGAGGATTTTGGCTTACGAACAAATCTTCTACATGAATATCCCCCAATAGTTAGCTCTTCACAAATATTGGCTCATAAAGTTATTTGAACCGTTGATTTAAGACAGAAATACCTCGGCCGAAAATATATCTCACGCACGACAAGGAAAACTATCGAGCCGATAGACACAAGGGTAACGCTCGCTCTAAGCAGCCACTGTCCAGTGGTTTCTGAACAGCTTCTGTCTAATGAACTGTTGAATTATTGTATCGCAGCGGCTTGCCAGAGCTTGTGCTGGTAGTGAAAAGGAAATCACTGTCAGGAATATCTAGCTAGGACCAGGATCAGTGAAGGTGTTTAGTGCTAGAGCCAGTCCGGGAACTAAGAGAGATAATATTTTTCGAGAGAATATCTTCAGCTACAGAAATGAAAATCTCTGTTCAGTTCTTGTATGCTACAGCCGGTCTAATCTTTGGTACAGGAAGGTTAGCTTCGGAGGAAATACCGAGTGTCCTGATAGCTTATTATTGTATGGCTGTCACTGGCAAGAAAATCCTTGCCAACAACTGGGTTGGTTACTACATGCAGTCCATCACTGCTGAAAAGTATTTCAGTTAAAGAAATCTTCGCCACACCAAAAGTGATTGTCTCAAAGAGAATCTATTGTGGAGCTAGTACAGGCACTAAGAAAATAAAATTGTTTCAAGACAACCTATCCTGTGCCCGTCAAGGTTTAAGGCTGTCGCATAACAGACCCTGTAAACGTACTAGAGAAAATCTACATAACTCATGAACTGGTTATCCAAGTAAAGCTCTTGCATGGTAGTGCCAGTGTAGGCACTATGAGAGATAAAACATCGTGAGAGAAGCTGTTCGGCGTCAGAAATGATTATCTCTGATTAATGTTTGCGTGCTAGAGCTTGTTCAGATTCTATTGGGTGTGAACATTTAGCCACCGTCGAGAAAACCGGAGGTACGGAAATCTATCCAGGCTCTAGACGGTAACATCGTTTTGTCTAGAGGACTTCGGGCCGCGACCTTTCGGGTATCGCTGATTAACTGCAGACGAGCCACAATGCAGAAAAAATTTTTCAAAGTTTATTAGTCATAGCCGTTCGATCGAAACAAAAAATATAGAAAAACCTCTATCGAAAAGTAGTCAAACGTTTCAATAAAAGGCTTTGTGAAAGCTTTCTTTCAGCTTTTTTTCTATAGATAAGTTAATACTATAGGTATACTTCTGTTCTTATACTAACCCATGATTTTATTTAATTAGACGATGCGGTTACACGCAAAAAGCAGTAACTCGAATTTAATAAACGTTTTATAATTAATTTTTATGCTTTCCGTTTTGCATTTGGGGAGTTTCGAGGCTTTTTCAAAAAAAAAAAAAATTTCATTCAAATTAATTATTTTACTTTTGTAAATTTAAACTCGTTATCTGGATAAGTGCTGATATAATTTTATACACAAAAATGCCACTTTAGCTTAAAATTTTCCATACCATAACAAACAAATAAACACTAGTGGCCTTATTCATAAAAAATAAAGTAGGTTTAAAGAGCTTTACAAAGTGCCGTTTTCATACATTTTTCAATTTGTAAACCTTTTTTAAAGCTACTTTATTCTTTATGAATATGGCTGTAATTTTTTTCCATTTTTGTATGAAAGTTATATTTTATGTTTTAATAAAGCAAAAATTGTTCTTAAATTACATTAAATTTTAACTAAAAACTACTACTTAGACTAACTAACTACAACGTATGTATGTATCAACTATACTAATAATAAAGTATTAAAAACTAAAAGTTTTACTAAAATTAAGACAAACTAAAAAAAATTTTCAATACTTTTTGTTAAGATTTAATTTTATCTATCAAATATGAGCGCAAGATTTTTTTTTTATGTGAATGCATATGTCTATGTATCGCGTTTTTGTGGGAAGAGTGTCAAATTCCAAAAGAAACTTGTTGTGAAAATTATTATTAAAGAAAAAATTTCTTCTTGGCAAAATTTTTTACCATTTTCTCTGTGTTTAGCGGTCATAGAGAGCAAACATAACTCTTAGACCAAAGCTCGGCTCCATACATAAGTTTCTACAAGTTCATCCTACGGAATAGTTTCTACGATTTTGGTAATATTTTATAGCAATTACTCGTTTTTTTTTTTATATTCAAAACATAGTTATTTAACGCAAATTTAAAAGTTGCTGTTTTGAATTTTACACTTTTCAAAATATGCCATTCTTCCAATAAAGTCGCGCTATTTGTTTTATATACTTAATTATGTAAAGTTAATGAATTTTTATGTTGACAAACTTAAACTTTTTTTACTTGAAAGGAAATAAAAATTTGAGATCTTTGTCTACAAAAGCGAATAAAGGTTTGGATGTCAAGAATAAAGAAAAAATAAAAAATATTTTAAGAAAGACAGTGAATTCATGTATGTAAATGTATGTATAAGCACCTTGAGCACTTTTGAGAACAGCTTAAAAAAAGCTTCACTTAAATTAACGGCAAAAATTTTAACCATCAAACATTTTGTCTTAAATGGCATTCAAGGCCGCAGTATTTACTACCGAACATCTAACACTGACTCAATTTGGTTGGAAATTAGTTGAAGAGACAGAAACTGTGTAAAGAGTTTGAGAGACTGCAGGTGGGTAAAACTTATATTTCGCCCAAAATCAGAAGGTCTAGCTAAGAAAGTATTTGCTTTAATTGGTGCGTGTGCAAAGTGATGTAGACCGGCGCTACGGAGTTGGGCACTAACAGGATCGTCAAGAGGGGAAGTCAGCAGGGTTAATTGAACCGCCGAAGGAATTAAGATAGGAAATAAATTGAGAAGATTTTGCAAAATGACAAAACATGCAATACAAAAATTTAATTGAACTGAAAGCGGGGGTTTCTGATTTCCTTCAACTGGCATACTAGTCTCCTTAGTTCAATGTAGCTGTTTTTTTAGGAAGACAACACCAACAAACAGTGGTAAAGGCAGTTTTTGGACGCCCTGAACTGGGCTAATATTCCAGCGACTCCCTGTCATTCGTGAATTCTCGGCTCTAACGTTTGGTGGAGGAAAATGCAGGTCCAGATCTCTCCAGGCACTGTAAACATCTCTTCAAGCATTTCTGGCGGCATTTTGTTCTCTTTGTGAAAGATTTTACGTTAGCTCTGTACTCCAATTTCGCACAATACGCAGATAGCTCACACAAGGTTGTGTTTACGGCTCAATTACTGAAAGCGTAATGATGTAAGTGCTAGGAAATTCGGTACTACCAAGAATATTGGCTATTACTTACATAGGTTGAAAACATATCAGCCTCCCCTCGTAAGTAAGTTCAAAAAAAGGTTTTAATTCAAGGGGCCCACCGATGACTACTTCGTTGGGACCAGGCCCGGCTCTCGACGCCCTTGGGCACTAACAATGAGTACTTTCAGGCCCCATTGGTTTAGCGGCCCAGAACATACGTTGTAGCCTAGCTCGCAGTAGCATGGCTGGTTGGAACCTTGCGAGCAGTGAAGTGGAAAATATCCCCTTAGTTGAGACAACTCAACGTTTTGGTAAACGATTGAGGGAGGTATCGAAGCAGGTGAGATATCGATTTTAAGGAGTGGCGCCAGTCGAGTCGCAAAACGCTGCAGTAGCTTAACTTCGCTTGATAGGTGTGACACTAATCGGTTTAGGAAAATATGAGAAAAGACCAGACACTAAATTCGTTCCAAATTTAATTTCTGTCACACGAATTTATGGTGAAAAACTACCCTTTCTGGGAAGTATGCTTAGCCCAAGTTAGTGTTGATATATTCGCTAAAAGACAGGAGTTTAAAATTCAAAAAATTTCTACGTAAGCTAACCGCCCTTCAACAGTTTCTCAAAAAAAGTGCTCAAAGCTCATATGTGTTTAAAATGATTTTCAATGAAGTGATAGAGAAATCTATTTGCATTAAGAATTAAAAGTAAAACCCTATACAATTAAGAAAAGCTAACACCTTGGCCAACATTTGACAACTTCTCTAAACTTTAAATCTTTTTTTTCCGTATGGTTTTTGTATGGCACAGATATACAAAAACCACATTTCCTTACATTTAACTGTGGAAAAATTTGTTCACCCAATGTGTATTACACACCTTTCTCTCTCCTTGGCATACACAAACACAAAATACTTCATGATATACTACATATTCCTCCGTAAAATTAACGTTGACTAAACATACGCATTTGTTGCCTTAATATTACAGGACATCTTATTGAAATTGTCGTCGATGTGTGAAACCGGCCGATAGGAGCGTTGCTTCAACCGCAATTGGATGATCCAAGCTATCAAAACCGCAATGAAGGCGACTAAAATGCCAATGACAATGTAAATCATCCAATGCTTGCAGGACTCTGAAACGACTTGAACTTCGGGCAAAATCTCTTCGGGATATAGCTGGAAGGTGGCTGGCACATCATGGCGTACAGACATAACTGGTGGGCAAGCGGTGGCTATGGCGGGCTCACTGGCAAGAGCAGCGACTACATGTGTTGGTGCGGCGGTAGTAGGTGAAAGAGGCAAGTACTCGGCAGGTGCGTAGGTGGACGACATTGAGTGTACGTGCCCAGCTGGACTGGCTGCGACGGCAGCACTGGCGGAAGTTGAACTGCTGCTGCTACTGCTGCTTGTTTTGCTGCCTTCTGTAGCTTTCGTAGTGGTTTGCAACTGCTTATCCCCTTCCAGCTCATCCTCCTCATCGAAGGGTATATCCGGCAATGTGTCAATCTCATTTTCAGCGCTATAGTCACTGCCATGTGACACATTATCCAGCACGCTTAGCTCGTCTCCAACATCTTCATCGTAACGACGCGCCACGCTGCCATATTTGTCACTGCCGCTACGGCTGCTGCTCAATACCTCATCCGGCATGGGCGCACAATCGGGCCAACAAATGGGGCAACAGCCATCCTTAAGCGTCACCTGTCGTTCGCGTGGACAATTAATGTTGCTGCAGAAGGGTAGCACACACTTTTCAATGCCATCGACGCATTCGCATTCATAGCAACCGACGCGCCAACTCTCGCCATGCTCGAAGAAAACATTCAACTTTTCGGGCTTGCAGATTGCTTTTGTTTTGTTGACGGCCTCGTCGCAGATTTGAATGCACATGGGCTTGCCGGAGAAGCAGTGGCAACGTTGACAGCCTTTCAGCCAACATAGCTCACTATCGACTCCTGCCGTGCAATTAGGCTTGCGTTGGCATTCATATTCGCCGCAACAATGGCCGGGTTTGTTCATTGACTCGGGCTGTAGCTCGACCACCACTTCATCCTCGCCATGACAGTCGGGTATGTGGCAAGTTTTGCAGAGGCACTTCTTCGCCAGGCAGCATTCTGCATAGATTTCTTCATCAATTTCGGTGGTGTTGTAGGGCGCTTCGTCGGTCACATCAGGCGATACGGTAAGCGGATTCATATCGATGGTGTTGAGAATTTCGCGTATGCTGCTGTCCGGTGGGCAGATCATGTCGGACATCGGCGGACATTTCACATTGTAGCAGAGGTGCGGTATGGTGTCGGCTGTAAAGAGGAAGAAAAAAATACGACGCCAGGGTAAGTAAAAGTCAAGTTAGTTGTTAAAAGAAGTAAGTTAGAAATGCAGCTTGATTAAATATACTGTATACTTTTCTAGGGAATATCCTATTAATCTAAGTTTAAAATAAGATTAAATTAGCTTCATTTAAGATAATTCATAAATTGGTAAAATGACCTGGTATGACGATTAATTTATGTACCTTCTCCGATCCCCAGTCTACTCAAACTGATTCACCAAAGAAGTGTATCCCAAAAAATCTGAGGAGATCTCTATATTGAAAAATAAAAGAGCTTCAGTGCTCCCAGTAGTCCCAAACACTATCAAGCAGTGTCCCTTGGGCAATGAAATATATCCAGCATACTTCTGTAACCTGAACAATAACGACCCTGAGTTTGAGATTTTGAATTATGAATTTGTTTCTAACGAATTGGTTTTGCTTATCCTTAACTCAGGGTTTGGATAGTAGCTGTGGGTGGATATCCAGATGAACTGAAATGGAAAACCAAAGCACTCAACTCAAAACTTTCTCCTCTATTGGAAGAAACCTGCGCCAACACCGGTGATTTTATCTCCCGCAGTTGACAAGGAGATGGCTTACATGGTCGATTCCACGTACAAGAAGTGGCGAGAGGTTCGGTCGTAGCATCCATGCTTTCGAGCTAGAGCAAAGCGCCGAAATCGATCTCCACCACTGCTTTTGTTCTCGGTTACAACTTGTCGAACTTTATTTTTGGAAGAGAACAGTAGGCGGATTCGATGGCTGTTCCCCGAGGTGAAGTGAAAGTCTGAATCGCAAGTAAAAGAAAAAGTATCTCGCACTACTTGATCGAGGCTTCGACAGCTGCCTCCCACAGCCGCCTGCTAGGCCCAAACGGCAAACCATATCAGCGATAAAGGTCCATGCTGACCTCCGCAGTGGCCAGCAGGCAGATCAAGTGTGTGGCGGTCAAGGGACCTTTTTGAGCTCAGACCACCGTAGCTTTCTGGAGAGTATATTGAAAGGGCACTGCCCGCCTCGAGACCAAACATATTACCGGATTTTCGCTGGTTTGATGACGATGTCACGAGTCACATCAACACTTTTTCTAAAGTCGCCCAGTATTTGAGAGTCTACGGTCTAAATACCGGAAACCAGCCTAGCAACTTGATTGCTGCTTGGCTGTCATTTTCGGTTATTTTTGGGGAATAGACGAAGCCAAGGATTTCTAAAAGTCTGCGGTGTATGTTCATAATTATATAGAAAAAATAATATTTAATTTTTCCAAGTTGGCGATTTTAAGCGATTTTTTTTTTAAATTTTGAAGTTGGTCGTCGCAGAGGAGCATTTAAAAGAAAAAAAAAATATTTAAAGTCGAATACTTTTACAATTAGTAGAAGGTCTTTATTGAGGGCTTAGACTATACAAAATCTGAATATGCAATTAATTGTTTAACAAAAATGGCCGCTAGGGTGCGCCTTGGTACAACAAACATGAAGAAGAATTGCCGCTTGGTGCGCTTTGGTAAAAAGAAATTAGAATTTGTTCCAAAGCTCAGTCAAGCGGAAACTTTTGGTAAAAATAAATTGCAGATTCCTAGAAAGACCTTTTGATGGAAAAATATTACCTTTTAAATAAATTTTAGGTTTTTCAAGTACTCCTCCCGGACCTCCAAATTAAAATTTATGTTCACTAACCCGGGAAAACTGAGAAATTACTGGTTTATAAGCTTTTATGTAACTTGCTCTGTATGTATGTATGTTTGTTAGGGGCAAATCTTGCAATCTATTTTTAACAAACTTCTCGATGACCTAGTTACTTGAAACTTCACAGTTGGCTCAGAACCCGAGAACAATGCAACATGAAGGTTCAGTTAATCCGATAGGTGGCGCAGGAGTCGAGATAACTGAAAACCCCATACTTATATGTAGTCCGATTTTGTTCATATTTAAAACGTATATTAAATTATTATGTATTATATATTAAACGTATATTAAATACAAAAATAATTAATTTCACGAAACATTTTGCCGATAGGTGGCGCACTGGTCGATATATTTGATAAACTAGTATTTGTCGTCCAATTTTGTTCATATTTAAAAAGCTTGCTTTAGAAATATTCGTTTTTACTATTCACTTATTTTTATACAGACTTTCAGAAAATCGTTTTTTCACCAATTCCACAGCCGATTGCCGAATATTGGAATAAATATCGGACTGAGCGCTAAAACGGGAGTTACACCAATTAGGGCGAAGCTGGCGGCTGCTTGTTATTGGCCACCTCTATGTAAAGAAGGCTGTAATTTTGCCGAAAAGTTGTCAGAACGCAAACCACTCCAGCTTTGCTAGTCGACATTTTCGAAGAAGGTATTCCGAGTGTCAGTAAGCTGAGTTGGAAGGAACCCAGGGTCCTTAAATGGATTAGCAAAGAATAATGCAGCAACTTTTTTTTAAGAATATCTGCAGTATCTAAGTGCAGCCTACAATGGTTAAATTTCACCACCGAATCCCAAAATTTTGAGTTCCAGTGGTGAAAGAAACTCCTTCGAATTAGCAGAAATGTATGTATGTATAAAATGTGTTCACACATATAATATATAATTTTTATTGTAATAAGATTTAGCACACCTGAAAGTGGACTAATACCCAAGTGAGTGCCACCAGTGGCAAATGAGTCTAATAGAACAATCAACCTGATTGCCAGCAATGGTCATCGAAAGGCAAGCGAACAACAATGAAAAAAACGCATTGGTAGAGGCAATAAAGACAAAACGTGAACAATGGCAACAATAGCAAAAGTCAAAACAATAACAACAATAAATAGGTGAATACAGAGCCCAATAGAGCCTGGAATGAAATGCTAATGAGTATTCGTGTCAATGCTTTAATGGTGAGTAGCGCAGCAACAAGAATTCAAGTACTACTTGTTTGCATATTCTGAATACACACTTCGCACAATCGCTGGGGCACTGCGGGCACATATCATCAACCTAAGTAGGCCACATTGTGACTTCTGCGTGAATGCATGAATGCGTAAATGCTTGACTGGACATGGCAGCAGGCGTTAGTGCTGGGTGGCCGTCAGCAATCAGTCACATTGTCGGATGTTGTGGATATTGTTGTAGTGGTTGTTGTTGTTGTTACTCTATCTGTGCCGTTGCACAGGCATTAATAAAACATTACATGGTAGCAGCGGTGAGGCACACTAATACATGCAAGCATAAATGCTTCGATATAAGCATTCACTTATCGTTGCTGCATACTTCGAGGCGCTTAGCAATGGTGTGGCGAGTAAATAGGTATCTTGGGCAAGTGAGTGAATTGATGCGGCATCTTTGCTTTGACTACATTGCTGGTAGCAGCTGCTGTTTACCACTGCTGTGCCGGCCTCGCTGTTGCTGTCAATGCTGTTATTGAAGGGTTGAATCAAACGTAGGCCGCTTGTGGCAACATGTGTGATGTGAAATGTCAAAAATCACTAGCTGTGAATGCGCTTTCCACGATGTTGAGTAGCTTGATTGCCACAAGTTGCACTACAAATATCCACACAAGCACACGCAATAGCCTAACTCGCCCCCCTAAAGGCTTGTCATACATCGGAAACAACGGGAAAATGAGCAGTGACATCAATTGTCGTCATCGCTATGCGCTGCGATAGCCTCATTATTCAGTCCAGCTTAAAGGCGGCTACCCAGAGTTAGTGAGTGTCTCAACCATAGACTATAGTGCAGGTGTATTGGTGGCAAACAGCCCCTTAGCTAGCTAGTGATTAATAGCAGCGGCTGCTTTTACCGCTAGCTACAAATGTACCTTGAATTTCGTGTCGAAAAGCTGCGCAAAAATATTCACGCTCTATATATCCCACTCGGCGAACATCAGCTCTATTTGCTAAGCCTTATCCCTAGAGTGATGCAGTGGAAAAAATTATGCCACATTAATTCGCACGCAGGTTTTAATTGAAGTGCGCGTAGCTGGCACTCAAGTTTGTTTTATTAATGTCAATTTCTCTGCTAATGTTGGCTATTCTTCTATGCTTATATGGCTTCAATTTCACCGGTATAGCATTTGCTGTAAGTGGCATTTACGCTATACCACCTTCATTAGCGTCTAAGCATGGTTCGGTTGCACTTAGCGATGGCATTTACAAAACTTCAAATGGCTGGGAGGCAAAAGCGTCAACGTACTGTTTACGTTGGCTTTTGAGAAAGTTGCTTTTTAGAAGCCCCTTTTGCGCTAACTAAGATGGAAAAATTAAGGCTACAGCTTTGTACTTTCTCATACAGCGAGCTGAGTGGGCGAGTACACACAGAAAGTCTCAGGGCATAAAGCTAGCGCTTACAATCATCCCTCTGCTCATACAGCCAGATAAATATTTTCGTTCACCAACCGTATATTTCTATACTTCTTCACCGGCCTTTGCAGCCAATTACTTAAAATATCGCACAAGACATCATTAAATAAATTGGCAGGTGCACACCGCCCTGTGACCTCGGGTACAAAGCTGTGGCGGTGTTTGAAATACAGTATTTTATTCAGTAGGGGAAGTACGTATAATCTCAATCTTAGACCATCTTAGACCAAACCCATCTTATAACTTAACTTGTCTAAGTATCAGAATTATTCCTCCTTGGTAGAAAATTTTAAATTTAAAGATGATAATAGTTAGCATAGTGATATCCACATAAACATTTATTAGCCATTTGCGAAGTACATGAATGTTTCTCTCTAAATAGGAGTTTGATGTTAAAAATTTTATTACATACTTCCAGGCTGACTGTTGATTTGAAACAGTTGGCGATACTCCTATTAAATACTAGCGCAACTGCACCCCTCATAGCTAAACATACGCCTTTAATATCTTATTACAGCATGTGTCACCCTACTGAATGACCCTCTGAACTGTTCTCATACGAAAATTCTTCCATCAGTGAATGTTTGCAAAAGTTCTGCGAAATTAAATTCCTAAATGAATTCAAACGCTTATATTATTTAAACAAATTTTTGTTA